TTGTCTCGTAAATTGAGTTTGGGAGCCATCCCTCCTCTTCAATTTTTTTGGAATAGTTTGAGAAGGGTAGGCATTAATTCTTTGAAAGTTTGGTAAAAATTTACCAGTGAAGACATCTGGTCCAGGGCTTTTGTTTGTTGGGAGTATTCTTAATTACTCATTTAATTTCATTAGTAGGTAGCAGTGTATTCAAATTTTATGTTTCTTCCTGATTCAGCTTTGGAAAATTGTATGTTTTTTGGAACTTACTCATTTCTTCCAGGTTGTCCATTATGTTGGCATACGATTGTTCATAATATTTCCTTATTTTAAATCCTTTGTATTTCTGTGATGTCAGTTGTCACTTCCCTTTCACTTATGATTTTATTTATTTGGGCCCCTCTGATAAGTCTGGCTAAAGATTCAATATTTTTTCATTCATCTTTTCTGTTGTTTTTTCAGTCTATTTTGTTTATTTCTGCTCTGCTCTTTACTGTTTCCTTTCTTCTACTCACTTGGGGCTTTATTCTTTTTTCAGTTTTTTAGGTATAAGGTTAGAGTGTTTATTTGAGATTTTTTTTGTTTGCTTTTTCAGATAGGCCTGTATTGTTATAAAATTCTCTTTTATAATTGCTTTGGCTGTGTCCCTCAGATTTAGGGTCATTGTATTTTCATTTTCATTTGTTTCATGGTGTCTTTTGATTTCTTCCTTGATCTCATTGTTAACCCATTCATTGTTTAGTAGCATGTTGGTTAGCCACCACATATTTGTGTGTTTTTCAGTTTTCTTTTTGTAAATGATCTATAGTTTCATACCTTTGTGATAGGAGAACACATGAAACTTGTTTTGTGGCCTAACGTGGTCTATCCTGGATAATGTTCCATGTGCACTTGAATTCATGTTCTGTTGCTTTTGGGTGAAATGTCCTAAAAATATTAAGTCCACATGGTCTAATGTGCCATATAAGACCACTGTCTCCTTGTTGATTTTCTGTCTGGAAGATCTATTCATTGATGTCAATGGGGTGTTAAAAGCCCCTACTATGACTGTTACTGTTGATATCCCTTTATGTCTGTAATATTTGCTTTCTATATTTAGGTCTCCTATGTTAGGTGCAGAGATGTTTATGAAGGTTATATCCTTTTTCTGGATTGAACCATTTATCACTATGAAATGCCATTCTTTGTCTCTTGTTCCAGCCTTTGTTTTAATATCTGTTTTGTTTGATGAGTATTGCTCCCGCACCTATTTTTGTTTGTTTGTCTTTATTTGCATGAAATACCTTTTTTCATCCCTTTACTTTCAGCTGGTGTGACTTTTGATCTGAAATGGGTCTCTTATGGGTAGCATATGTATGGGTTTTGTTTTTATTATCCACTTAGCAACCTATGTCTTTTGATTGGAGAATTTAGTCTATTTACATTTAAAGTAATTATTGACAGGTATGTAGTTATTGACATTTTATTAATTGTTTACTGATTGTTTTTATAATTCTCTGTCCCTTTCTTATTCTTTTGCTCTCTTCTATGTTGATGACTTTATGTAGTGTTTTGGTTTTTTATTCCTTTCTCTTTGTTTCTTGTATAAATCTTGTAGACTTTGGTTTGTGGTTACCATATGCTTCGTATATAGCAAGCTATGTTTATAGCAGCCTGTTGTAAGTTGATGGTTGCTTAAGTTCATACACATTCTAAAACCACTACAATTTCTATATCCCCACACCTGTTTGTGCTTTTGTCATTACTTTTTACTTCTCTCTGTGTTTTTGTTTGTATCCCTTAATTTGTTGTAATGATCTTCCTACATTTGCTGTTTAACTTTCTTACTAGCTTTATCATTGGCTCATCCACTGCTTTTACTAAGTGTTTGCCTTTGTCAGTGAGAATTTTTCTTATATTTTCCTATTAACATTTTTGATCTTTTCTATTTAAAGAAGTCCCTTTAACATTTCTGGTAATATTGGTTTGATGGTGATGAAGTCCTTTAGCTTTTTCTTGTCTCTGCAAATCTTTATCTCTTTGATTCTAGATGATTGCCTTGCTGGGTAGAGTAATCTTGTTTGTATGTCTTTGCTTTTGTCACTTTGAATATTTCATGCCAGTCCATTTTAACCGTCAATGTTTCTGTTGAGAAATCAGTTTATAGTCTTATGAGAACTCCCATGTATGTAATTATCTGCTTTTCTCTTGGTACTTTTGAGATTCTCTCACTGTCTTTAACTTTTGTCATTTTAATTATGATGTGTCTTGATGTTCATCTTGTTTGGGATTCTGTACTTCCTGGACTAATATGTCTGTTTCACTTTGCCAGGTTAGAGATGTTTTCAGCCATTATTTCTTCCAATAGGTTTTTGTCCCTTTCTCTCTCTCTTTTATCTTCTGGGACCCCTGTGATACAAATGTTGATACTCTTGATGTTGTCCCAGAGGTCCCTTAAACTATCCTCATTTTTAAAAATTCTTTATTGTTTTTGCTGTTTCAACTGGGTGTTTTTTGCTACCTTGTCTTCCACATCACTGATTCGATCTTCTACTTCATTTAATCTGTTGTTGAGTTCCTCTAATGAATTTTTCATTTCAGTTATTATATTCTTCATTTCTGATTAGTTCTTTTTTATAATCTAGATCTCTTTGTTGAAATCTCACTGAGTTCCTCTATTCTCCTGAGTTCATTGAGCATCTTTATTACCAATATTTTGAACTGTTTATCTATTAGATTGCCTGTCTCCATTTCCTTTAGTTCTTTTGATGTAGTTTTGTTTGTTGTTACTCTGGGACATGTTTCTTTGTCTCTTCAGTTTGGCTGACTCTTTGGGTTTGTTTGTATGTGTATTAGGTAGATCCCACTACATCTCTTGGTGTTGAAAGAGCTGCTTTATATAGAAGGTGTCCTGTGGGGTCCGTGCACAGTTCCCCCTGGTCACCTGAGGCAGGTGTTCCCTTTGTGGCTTGTGTGTGTCTTCCTGTTGTAGTTGAGCCTTGATTGGTGCTAGCATGTCTGAGGATGGGGTTGACCCTCAGGCTAACTGGCTGTGAGAGCCTGCTTTGACGACAGCTTGGGAGGGGAAGTTGTTTTAGCACTGCTCTGGTGCCAGGCAAGCTCACCTATCAGGTGTGTCAGTTGTGAAGCTGCTTTGGGAGGGGCTCTGGTACTTGTATATTTCAGCATTTTTTTTTCCGCTGGGCTTGGAGGAACTTGGGAGAGGCTAAGACGCTAGCCAAGGCTGGCTGCCACTTGTGCCAGGCGTGGGGCAGCTTAGTTGGAACCATATTGCAAGCCAAGACTAGCCATCACTTGTGCCAGGCTTGGGGCCACTTGGCAGGAGCTACAATGCAAGCTGAGGCTGCTTGCTCCTTGTGGGGTTTGTGACCTTTGGGAGAGTCTGCAGTTTGTGACCTAGGGAGGGTGCTTTGGAAGAGGCTTCAGCTAGCTGGGTAGGTTAAGTGGAGTAGCATCTCAGGAAGATGCCAGGGAAGGGATGTTAGCCAGGTTAATGAAAAGGGACATATTTTGTACTGGCCTATGTCAGGCCAGCTGGGAGTGAGGAGAGCTGAACAAAGGAACAATGGTGCTTGCCAGCACTTCCATCCCCTGAGAGGGTTCTCCCAATCTATGCTCCTCCAGCACGCATCCTAAAGTTAGTGAATTGAATTCCTTCTGCCCATATGACCCAGGCCCTTCTCAAGCTGCTGCCTCTGTACTGGAGCTTGCAGCAAGTTTGTTTGTCCTCGAGCCCTTTAAGAGCAGCACCTCAGTCTCCCATAACCCTTGGCCTCTCTGGTGCATACTCCCCCCTGGTTCTCAAAGCTGTATGTTATGGGCACTCTTCCTGGCTCAGGTTCCCCAGACTGGGGTGTCAGGTTTGAGGCTTGGACCACTCACTCCTCAGAGGGGACCTCCATAGCCTAGCTATTCCCTTTTAAATAATCCCTACACTGTAGTGTGGGAACTGCCCAGTCTGCATCTCCATCCTTCCTACCTGTCCCACTGTGGCTGCTTCTTTATGTCCTTAATTTTAGGAATTCTGTTCAGCTAGTCTTTAGGTGATTCTCAGTGATGGTTGTTCTATAATTCAGTTGTAATTTTGATATGTTCATGAGAGATAATGAGTTCAGGGTTTGCCTACTCTTCCATCTTTTATTTTATTTTATTGATTTTTAGAGAGAGAGGGGAAGGGGGTGGGGAGAGAGGCAGACAAATGTTGATTTGTTGTTCAACTTATTCATGCATTCATTAGTTGTTTCTTGTATGTGCCCTGACTGGAAATCGAACCTGCATCTTTGGTGTATTGGGACGATGCTCTAACCAACTGAGCTACCCAGCCTGCGCCCCTACTCTACCATGTTGACTTTGCCCTTGCCATTGGAATTTTGATAGAGATTGTATTGAATATGTATGTTGTTTTGATAGTACGGACATTCTAACAATATTAGTTCTTCCAGTCCATGAGCATGGGATATCTTTCCATTTTTTGTGTTTTCATTTTCTTTCATCATTATCTTACAGTTTTCAGTATACAGGTTTTTTACCTCCTTGGTTAAATTTGTTCCTAGGTATTTTATTTTTTTTGATACAATTATAATTGGGATTGTTTTCTTAATTTCTCTTGTGAAACTTCATAACTGAAGTGTGTGTTTTTTTCCAGGAAGAAAATATAACTAGTAGGGGATAGAAAAGTTTAGATACTGAAAGCATAATGGATTACCAAGGGAAACTGGGAACCCTGGGGGGGGGTCATCTTTAGTCTTTGGGGCCAGCATCATAGCCTTCCCTTACACATCCTATATTGTCCTCTGTCAGAGGAGACCCTGAGTTTAGATGAGTAGATTCATTGTTGTGTTTTTATATTTGTAAATGGGTTTGTGCAGAGGGTGATTTAACCAAAAGGCATTTGTAGTTTTCTAATCAGGTTTGAGACTGTTTCCTACTAGCTTCTATGACTGTCTTTAAGGTTATGTTACCTTATTTATACATGATTTAAAATAGAATAATAATAGTTTATGTGTTCATTTTTTTTACAGGTTGCAGAACTTTTATTCCAAACTGCTCAAAATGCAGGGATCAATTTTGACACAGTCTGTGGAGTACCTTACACAGCTTTGCCATTGGCTACAGTTATCTGTTCAACTAACCAAATTCCAATGCTCATTAGAAGAAAAGAAACAAAGGATTACGGTAAAGTTCAAGTAGTATAAGGATTAAGTTGATAGGTCACCTCATACTGCTAGAATTTTTTGTTCTAGGCACTGCTGCTTTACCAATCACCTTGAATGTTCTTCATAGGTCCTTTAAGTTGTTGGGGCTTGTGGGATTTGTTAACTTTTGCTGTAACTCATCGTCTTTACCTTTAGAGTCTTGGGGTGAAATGGCAAGGAAAAACAGTGCTTTTTTTGGACTACATCTATGACACTTGGCATTTTTACCAACCCTTCTCTCATCAGCAGGATATTTTAAGAGCACCTTCCCAGTATCTTTATATTTAAATTGCCTGACGAAAAATGCCTAAATAAAATTACTCAAAGCAATATAAATGCCACATGAAATTTTTAATGAAGATATTTTTTTCATGGGTCCATGGCAATAGGTTATCGGGTAGATGTTTTAAACGTGTGGGCTTGCTTTAAAACCAAATCATTCTAAAAATATTGGAATTGACTTCATATTTGATATTAAGGAAGCAGTGTTTTTGTTTGTTTTGCTTTGAGTTGATGTGATAGTATTTCTGTTATATTTTTTTTGAAAAGAATCCTTACCTTTCTAAAAATTTTTTATGATGAAATCATGGTTTCTCAGAGTTGCTTCCAAAAACTATGGGGGAAGGGAGGGAATGGGAATATAGCTGAAACTAGATTGATCATGAATTGTTAAGTGGTGAAGTGGGTGTTAGTAAACTATTTTGTCTTGTTTTATTAGTTTGAAAATTGTCTACTTAAAAAATAGTAAAAATATTTGCTGCTTGAAGGCACAGTGTTTATATCTGGGGTAGGGAAGCCTTTTCCTGCCAAGGGCCATTTGGATATTTATAACATCATTTGCAGACCATACAGAATTATCAACTTAAAAATTAACTGTGAGAAAAGTTCCTATACTTATTTTAAGTCCCGCCTGTGGTTGCCTTGGCAGGGCCAGACGAAATGATTTCGGGCTGGATGTTCCCCACCCCTGCTCTAGATGAATCTCTGCCCATAAGGAAACTATTATTTGTATTTCCTTATTACATGCCTTCAAAAATATTCCTTAGAATAAGATCATTAATTTTTAGATATGCCTATAAATATTCAGTCTTGTGTTCTAGTCCAAGATGGCTCAGTTAAATTTACCAATTCTTCAGGGGGGAGGAAAGAAGTTAAGAGAAAAGGCATCGGAAAGGGCAAAGATGGTACCTGTAGTAAAGCTCAAAAAGTGGGCAAAATGTTCACCAATTCTGTTTCTGTTTCAAAATAAGACAAATTTGGTAATGGGAAATATGAAAATAAGTTTGTAAAGTCTACAGCCTGAGTTATTTACATTTTGTAGATTATCTGAAAATAGTCTATCCTGGAGTTGGAATGGGAAAGTGTATTTAGTCACATGCATTGTATAATTTGTAAAGTTGTAGTGATTGGTCTAAATGGTTAATGAGTATTTTCCCTCCTGAATCTGTATATGCAAAGGCCAATTTTTCTGGCTGATCTTGATTAATGAACTCATTTGTTGATGGAAAAAGGAATGATTTCATTGAGAAATATTATACTTTGTTTCATTACTTCCCTTGATCTAGGTGATCTTGTTTAAGAAACTCTATATTTTAAACTTTGATCATAAACATCTTAAGTGGTTTTTATTTACATTGCAAAATAATTTGCTAGTTTTACTGTAAACATTCTGTATCTGTAACTGACATTTTGGGATACAGAGACACTGAATAAAAAAGTAATTATGGCATATTGAAGATTCATCAGGATAAAATAGCTCCAAAGTAGATTATCAGAAAATAAAATATAGATCATCTACCTCTTCATAAATACATGCTGGATTTATTTTGTAAGATACATCTTGAATTGAATGAAATATTTATTTGGAATCAATATTCTTTCTTGTCCAGGTACTAAGCGTCTTGTAGAAGGGGCTATTAATCCAGGAGAAAACTGTTTGATCATTGAAGATGTCATTACCAGTGGATCTAGTGTTTTGGAAACTGTTGAGGTTCTTCAGAAGGAGGGCTTGAAAGTCACTGATGTCATAGTGCTGCTGGACAGAGAGCAAGGAGGCAAGGATAAGCTGCAGGCACATGGGATTTGCCTCCACTCGGTGTGTACATTGTCCAAAGTGCTGGAGATTCTTGAGCAACAGAAAAAAATTGATACTGAGATGGTCGAGAGAGTGAAGAGATTTATTCAGGAGAATGTTTTTACAGCAGATGATCGTAATGGTTCTCTCCCATCTGTAAAGAAAGCACCCAAAGAACTCAGTTTTGGTGCACGTGCAGAGCTGCCCAGGATCCACCCAGTTGCATCGAAGCTTCTCAGGCTTATGCAAAAGAAGGAGACCAATCTGTGTCTGTCTGCTGACATTTCCGAGTCCAGGGAGCTGTTGCAGCTAGCAGATGCTTTAGGACCCAGCATCTGCATGCTCAAGACTCATGTAGATATTTTGAATGATTTTACTCTGGATGTGATGAAGAAGTTAACAACTCTGGCAAAACACCATGAATTCTTAATATTTGAAGACCGGAAATTTGCAGATATAGGAAACACAGTAAAAAAGCAATATGAAGGTAAGTATTATCCAGGAATCTGCAAGAATCAGAAATCCAGCTTAAACTGGCTGAAGCAAACAGGAAATGTATTGGGTCACATCACTGAAATACCAGTCATAGAATGGGCTGTCAAGCATGGTTGGATCCAGGAGCTCAAGCGATGTCTTTTGAACTTACTTTCTCTTCTCTCAGCTCTGCTTGCTTTCTTCCTCCTTCCTCAGGCAGGCACACTCCTCACGCCCACCCCAGTTCAGTCACTGGGTGTATTTAGGTATAGAATAGCTAACGGTATAGCTAACACTTGGGTAATACACCCCTGGTAACTGTGTGTAAACTTCTTAAACTGAAACCTGGTCAAGGGTAATTCCCCTAAAGAGAATGGGCGTGCTGATGCCAGAAGATGGCAACATAGGTTCTAGGCAGGCAAAAATGACAGAGGTTGTCCCTGGCAGAACACAGTGAGTTCTGATATTTGAAGAATGAAAATTGCAGATACGGGAAACAATGAAAAAGTAGTATAAAGTTGTAAGATTATTTTTAGCCGAAAAAGATCTGTTGATATACACAGTCTTTTTAAAATTTTTATGTTAAATAGGAACTCAGAGTAGAGCATGTTGGTTGAAAAAACTGGCTTAATTCTCTACCTATTCTATGCAAATTTCTGCCATATTGTACATATTTGATGTTTTTTCCCCCCACTTAATCTTATATTTTATCATGTTATTAACATAGTCATCTTTTGAGGTAATTTTTTAAAGTAATGCATGCATATTCTTAAGCTATTCTTTAGGATAGATTTGTCTATAAGTGGTTTTTCTTATATGCCTAAGATGTCCTGTTTTGTTTGTTGACTGATGTAAAAGTTATACAAACTTTCTACTTTCTATAGGTTTACATATAGTCTTTTCAGGAATCAATTAGGGTTATTGCTGGCAGCTTTTAAAATGAATACAGTTGCCTGTTGAAATCTGAAGAGCGAAAGAGACCTTAGGAACAAGTAAAAGATTTCAGAAATAGTAAAGATCCCTGCAGAATGAAAATTTGTCATTTTCGGAGGAATTTCCAAATGTCAATGTCTTAGACCTCCATAAACACTCTCTTCACTAGGGTTCATTTCTAATTGCATAAGTTTTATTGGTGGTCACAACTTCAGCTTGCAAGGAAAAACAGTCTCTGTGTTGCTTGTAAACTAAGCACAGAACTTACAAGACTTTTCTCATTGTGATCTCTCAACCAGCTACTAGGTGGACAGATAAATTTTTCACACAACCATACATGAGTCCACTGAAACACTAAAATTCTTGAAGCATTTCACTATTTCATTAACATCGTCCCAGGAGATTATTTCATACTGCACATAGTTAGGCAAAAAGTTAAAGGTTTTTTTGTGAAATTTGATAAATGCCTTTTTACCCCCCTTCTTTTTAGGTGGTGTCTTTAAAATAGCTTCCTGGGCAGATGTAGTAAATGCCCATGTGGTGCCAGGCTCGGGAGTTGTGAAAGGCCTGCAGGAAGTCGGCCTGTCTCTGCACCGAGGGTGCCTGCTCATTGCAGAAATGAGCTCCGCTGGCTCCTTGGCCACTGGGGACTACACTAAAGCAGCGGTAAGTGACAGAGGGACTGGGCTGTACACTCCGTGTTCCAGAGGAAGAAAATACCTTAATTTGGGGTCTATGAAACTCTGCTTAAAAAAAATAAATAAATCAGTTGTTAGTATGACAGTATATTAATACTAACTGGCTGGAGTTCCCTGATAGTTAAGAGCATTTTATATCTTGTAGTGGACACTTAAGAGATCTGTTGAAACACAGATACTTGGTCAGATAAACATCTACCTGTATGCTTACCTGACCTTTAAGATAGTTTTGTGTTTTTTCGTCTAACCATGAGTTGAAACTGAAGAGCTTTGTCCCATAGATGCATTCTCAGGACAGTTGGCCATATGCAGTGGATTTTTATTTATTTATTTTTAGTCTTTGATATTGATTGGCATTATATGGGAAAGCTCTTTAAACTAGAGTCCAGACACATTGTTTCCTCCAGTAACTCCCTCATTATTGAAAGTTCTTATAACACTGTATACATTAATACCCAGCACTCACCCCTGCATGCCAGAATAAAATGAGAGGATAATTATCTAGTTAAAAAGTTTCATAGTTGGATAGATCACCTTTACAGATATTTTAAAGATTATTATTATTATTATTTTAAATGTATCTATTGATTTCAGAGAGAGGAAGGGAGGAGAGAGATAGAAACATCAATGATGAAAGTCATAGATCAGCTGCCTCCTACTCGCCCCCTGCTGGGGATCGAGCCCGCCACCCGGGCATGTGCCTTGACCGGGAATTGAGCCTCGATCTCCTGGATCCTAGGTTGATGCTCATCCGCTGAGCCACGCCTGGCCAGGCAAAGACTATTACTTTTAAAGTAACAGAAATTTTTACTTTAATGACAATTTAATTTTTATATGGGAATTTATTTTTTTATATTATTTTAAATATTGTCGATGGAACTATGAAAAACTCACATGGCCCTAGCCCCAGGTTTTAACTCAACCCCTCAAGTGTCCATAAATGTCTGTGATTTCCCAACTCCCATAACAGAGGGTCCATGAATCATTCTGGAAGTCTGGATCTGGCTCAAGGACAAGACATCACTTTCTTGTAGGTAGTACTGGTGGCAAGAACAGAACATTGTAAGTCTCAGGGAAGAGCCAAATTAGGGGGTCAGATGTTCTAGAGAAACTTCTATGAATGGGTAATGATATAGAAATTGTGGAGGCCAATTATTAGCAAAGGTTAAAGAAGAGGGAAAGTGGTAGACTTGAGATTTCTTTAGCTCTTGACAATATAGCTGTTTTTTATATGGTGGCTCTCCTTGAATGTGGAGTACCCTGTGTAGATAGGCAGTAAGTCTTCAGTGTGGTTTTATACCATTTAGAGTACTTTCCTCATATCCTTTTTGGAAGTAGGTAGGTCCCCAAGCATTATTACAAATAAGTAATTATGCAGCATCTAGATTCTAGACATGCATAGTATAGGATTTTCAGTGTTTTTAGGGTATGGTTAATTGGGAGAAGGGGAGAGACTGGGTTAATGGAGCAAGTATGTAGATTCATATCTAAGATTACGTGTTTTAGATTTAGAATTTAATATGAAATGAGAAAAGACATCTATAAAGTAGCAAAGTTGCTTACTAGTTAATAGAGCCAGTTTTTTACATTACTTGTAGAACTATTATTCTGTGTGGTTAACTGCTTGCTTTTTTTTTTAATCCTCACCTGAGGATATTTTTTCTATTGCTTTTCAGAGAGAATGGAAGGGAGGGAGGGGGGAAGAGAGAGAGAGAAAGAGAAAGAGATGTGAGAGAGAGACATATCAATTGGCTGCCTCCCACACGTGCCCTGACCGGGGCCAGGGATCGAGCCTGCAACTGAGGTATGTGCCCTTGGCCAGAATTGAACCCAGGACCCTTCAGTCTGTGGGCTGATGCTCTAACCACTGAGCAGAACTGGCCAGGGCATGGTTAACTGCTTTGTTATAATCTGTCCTATTACATTCCATTTAGGTTAGAATGGCTGAGGAGCATTCTGAATTTGTGATTGGCTTTATTTCTGGCTCCCGAGTAAGCATGAAACCAGAATTTCTTCACTTGACTCCAGGAGTTCAGTTAGAAGCAGGAGGTAAGTCTATTCATTGGGCATGGTTCTTCCAAAATGCTTCTTTATCCAAGTCAGCAAGGGCAAGATGAAATTTTGTGTGTTGTTACAAAGTTGTTGAAGAGAAAGCTTGTTCATCTAGAACAGTAATTAATGGGCCCTTTGGCCTGGTGATACTGACCTCAGTATGCAAAATATCTTGCAGTCCAATTTTAGGATGACTATTTAGAAAGCTATTTCTCATTAAAATGTACCAGATATTTCAACTGTGTTTCCCAAATGATGTTCTTAATATGCTGCCAAAAAAGGTGTTCTGTGCTCCAGGAACAATGTGCTAGGCTAAACAAAATCAAGATCTTGTTTCTTTGTTAGAGCCTTTGATGTGCTAATTATTGTGACTCCAGTGTGGAGATACATGGTTTGTCATGTCTCCCAAGCGTGTTTGAACATGTAACACTTTCAGCAGTCTGAGAAATACAGTTGATGTGGCTGAAAAACAGTTCAGATTTTTTCACTGATAGTCTCTAATCAGTAGTAATCTAGGTTATAAAAATAAACATATTTATCCTATGGGACTCAGTAAAGCTGCTTCAATTTGAATGTGGAAGAAATCTTGACCTGGAAAATTTTTATTTTTCCTGGATTGGCTTATCACAGGTATGGGAGTTCATTCTACCCTACTTCCCATCTCTTTCCTTCTTTATGGATTAGGCTTAAGAAGTTGGAGATCAAAACTATGAACAGTAGTGTTCTCAGCAGAACTATTTAAAATGAAAACACTTCTGCTTATTACCCCTCAGGTCAGGCTGCCAAGTTGACACTCTGATGTTCTGTTTTTACATTGAAAAGTTCAAAAGGCACCTTTAAAAATATTCAGAGAATTGTACTATCCGTTCTGATGTAACTCACGCTCATCTCTCCTCCATACTGTTCTTTTCCCAGGCCTGCTCCTCCCTCCAAAGGTAATCACTACTGGTGTGACGTGTCTTTATAGGCCTTTGGCTTTGCATGTGTTCACATATGCACAGAAAGTTTGGAGAGTGTTTTCTGTCTGTGCAGCTTTCTTACATTTCCACATCTAGAGTTACCTTTTACCAACTGCACAGTGTTTCCTAGTTAGGATTGGGCCATAATATGTGTAACCATTCCCCCGTTGATGCATTTGAACTGTTTACCAACAGTGAACATCCTTGTATACATTTTTGTACATGTAGAGTATTTCTGGAATAGTCTTCTAGGCTAGAAACTCCTCAAGGATGAGTGCTCTTTCTGAAGATTGCTTATCCTTCAGCACAGTACCCCTTGCTACATAAATATTCTGTAAATGCTTATGCAAATGTTGAAGGAATGGACACTATGCTTTTTAGGAACAGATGAAAGAGCTAGTATTTTCTGTAACTGGGATGAAAGCAAAGGGAACATAATGACTGAGGGTATGGGTATGAGTGTGGTAAACCTTGGTTTTCTTTTTAAACCCTGAAATACTAGAACTAGTAGATACTCATTAACCTTGAAGGAGCTAATTATTTTACGTAAATAATTTAACCACACTTTAAAAAAGGGGAGGGTAGTGCCTTTTGGGGGTTTAATTAAGTACTGTAAACAAAAAACATTACAGAAAGTTAATCAGAAAGAAAATTAATGAGAACTCAAATAAATTAATGATAGATGTACCCCCAAGGTTACAGAATATTGGAGGTCTCCAATTCCCAAGTTTCCCATTACAGATTCTGCACAATATAGAGTAGGCCTCAGCAGAATGACTCACCTATCTAGGGCTTTGTAATAGTTACCTCAGTACTGAACTTTTGACTTTTTTTAAAACTCCACATTTATGCTAAACATTTTATGAGTCAGTTTGGATTTCTGGGCTTTCTATTTAGTAACCATGTATCTTTGGACATGTCACTTTACTTCTGTCTCATTTTCTTGATCTTGTAAAATGGGGATAATAGTGTTAATCTCAAATGGTGTTCAGAGCCTTAAGTGAGATGGTGTGTTTAAAACACTTAACAAAGTCTCTTGACATGGAGTAAGCACTCTGTGCTTGTCAGCTGCTAATGTTCATCATAGGACCCAGAGTACTTTGATTAGATTGTATAGTTAGGATGCAGGCTTTGGGGGATATTGAAAGCATCTGTATATGAGAGGTAATACGCCATTTAACAGAAGGCTCCTAGAATAACAGAATTTAAAAAGAAGGAAAAAGTAGGTTTCTGGTTCAAGATGGTAATGTGGGAAGTTAGCTCCTCCCATGGACTATACCGGGTCTGCAGCTACACGTGGAATAGTTTCCTCTGGGGCAGAACAGAAACTACAGGCTGCTGAGTGAGGGCTAAGCACCCAGCAGGTCAGAAAACAGGTCTAGGTTAGTAGGAGAGGCTGGAGCGCAGCCCTGCCGTAAACCCCGCCCCTGCCACGGCAGCCCACACTCCAAGCCCAGAGCTGCTCCCTGAGGAGTGACGGGTTTGAGTTGCACATCACACACCCCAGCTTTTAAGACTACAACTGAGAGATGAGCCCCCAAAACATCTAGCTTTGAACACGGACTTGTGTCCATGAAACCCACAAGGCTAGTGATCTGAGAAATGACTCTTAAAGGGATTACTCTCTCAGACTCACCTTCCCCCGGGGCACAGCTTAGGGAGCTGATGGTACCAAGACATTAAGTAGAAGAGACTCATTTGCTAATAAAAGTGTCAGTCTTATGGGAAGACATCTGACTTGACACACATTTAAGAGCTTGCCAGAACACTCTCCAGGGACAGAGACTGGTGGGCACCATCTTCACGGTCTCCCTCTGCCTTGCTGTAGCTAGTGGGAACCATCTCTCTCTTTTTTTAAATACTAGGCCTTTTAAAAAAAAAAACACAAAAAAACCTTTTTCCAATGGGCACCATCTTTTTATTTATTGATTTTTAGAGAGAGAAACATTGATATGTTACTCTTTTTATTTATGCATTCATTGGTTGTTTCTTGTGTGTGCCCTGGCCAGGGATCAAACCCACAACCTTAGCATATCGGGATAATGCTCTAACCAACTGAGTTACCTGCCAGGGCACCATCTTTACATTCCCCTTCTGCTTTGCTATGCCCAGCAGGCACAATTTCCACACTCCCTCTGCTGCATCCGGAGCACCAGTATCTCCTGGAAGGGAGCTTTTACATGTGTCTGGTGCCCTGATTTTTGCAGCTGCTGCTCAGGGGACACCCCTTGATTACTTGGCTCTGGAGGTTAGGTGAACTTGTGTTCCTGGGTTCTAACAGGACTATAACTATTGGAGAGGTAATTCTTAGTAAGCAGCCATTCCCCAGGGCACTGCACAGGTAGAATGCTGAAATAACAGCTTCAGACTTACTTAAAAGAGGCCTATTTCTTGTCCAGGAGCTTGAGCCTGAGGAGCAGACCTAATTTGACAGACATTCAGTGGTCTGTGGAAGTACTCTCAGGGAACTGAGGCTGGTGGACATAGTCTTCGCACCCTCCCTCACGCCAAATCACTATTTTTCCCTGGAAAGAAGCTTATACCCTTGTCTGGTGCCTCAAATTTTGCAGCTGCCACTGAGGGACACCTCTGTGTGGCCTGCAGAGCTTATGGGTCCCACAGGACTGTAACCAACAGAGAAAAAGTTCTTAAACAGCTGCCATTACAGTACACAGCAGGAGGCAACAGAGCCTGAACTTAGTCTTTCTGTGCAAGAGGCCTATTAGCTGATTATCATAGTTGCAACCTGAGGGGAAGGCCTCTAATTAAACACACATCTAAGGACTTATTTGTTATCCTATCCAGAGGCCTCAAATGGCAGGTGCGTTCTTTGTGCTTTGCCTCTCCTATACTCCAGAGCTCTAGTATCTCCTGGAGGGGAGCTCTTACATATGTCTAGTCCCCCAGTGTTTTGCAACTGCCGGGGGGGGGGGCACCCCTTGATCACCTGGCTCTAGTGGTTCAGGTGGGGCTTGCATTCCTGGGTCCTACTGGACTCTTAACAATTAGAGAGATAATTCTTAGAATATCACCATCCCCGGGGCACTGCACAGATAGCATACTGAAAAATGCCCCTAGTCTTTTTGTGAAAAGAGGCCTTTTTACTTGTGCTGGAGTTTCTGCCTGAGGGGCTAGCTTCAGATTTGGCACAAACCTGGGGCATACAGAACTATTCTCAGGGAACTTAAGCTGGTGAAAACCGTATTTGTGCTCTCCCTCTGCTGCGCTACAGCTTCCTAGTAGTCAGGAGCCCTGATTTTTGTGGATGCTGCATAGAGGACACCTCCAGATAGCCAGGCTCTGGAGGCCAGTGGTGAGCTAGACTCACCAAGAAAAAAAGAGAGAGGACTCAGTCTCAGAAATGAAAGAGGAAATGTTCCAGCTGATTCCACAGAACTACAAAGGATTATAAGAGACTGTTATGCCAACAGATTTCACAACCTGTAAGAAATGAGTACATTCTTAGAAACATACAACCAGCCAAGACTGACTCATGAAGAAATAGAAAATCTGAATACACTGATTACTTTTAAGGAGATTGAGTCACTAATCAGAAAACTCTCAACAAATAAAAATCCACCAGACAGCTTTACTAGTAAATTCTAGTGTTCAAAGAAGGATTAATACCAATCCTCCTCATACTCTTCCAAAAAATAGCAAAAGATGGAATGTTTTCAAATTCATTTTACCAGGCCTGATACCAAAACCAGACAAGGAAACCATGAGGAAAGAAAAGTACGGTTCAATATTCTGATGAACATAGTTGCAAAAAATCCTCAACAAAATATTAGCATACTGAATTTAAAAATACATTAAAATGATCATATACCATGACCAAGCGAGATTTATTCTAGAAATGCAAGGACATTTTAATTCTACAAATCAATCAGTGTGATACACCGCATTAACGAAATGAAGGATAAATATCATATGATTATGCCAACAGATGCAGAAAAAAGTTGACAAAATTCAGCGTCTATTCATGATAAAAAACTCAACAAAGTGAGTAGAGGGGAAGTACCTCAACATGATAAAGGCCATACTGCCAACCTCATACTCAGTGGTGAAAAGCTGAAAGCTTTTTCCTAAGATTAGGAACACGACAAGGACGCCCACTCTCACCACTTTTATTCAGCATAGTATTGGAAGCCCTAAATAGACACACTAGTCAAGAACAGGCATCCAAATTGTACAGGAAGAAATAAAATTGTCACTGTTTGCAGATGACATGATATTACGCATAGAAAATCCTAAAGACTCCACACAAAAAACTTGTAATTAATAAACTAATTCAGTAAATTTGCCAGATACAAGGTCAATCTACAAAAATTTGTTGCATTTCTATACACTAATAACAAACTATCAGAAAGAGAAAGTAAGAAAACAATCTCATCTACAGTTGCATCAAAAGTAATAAAATACCTAGCAATAAATTTAACGAAGTAGGTGAAAGACTTGTACACTAAAAACTACAAGACACTGATGAAAGAAATCCAAGAAGACAAATGTATGAAAATATTTTCTGTGCTAATGGATTTGAAGAATCAATGTTATTAAAATGTCCACACTACCCAAAGCATTCTGCAGAACCAGTGCAGTCCCTATCAAAATTCCAATGGCATTTTTCATAAAAATAGAACAAACCTAAAATTTGTGTGGAACTACAAAAGGCCCTGAATAGCCAAAGCAATGCTGAGAAAGAGCAACAAAGCCGAAGGCATCCCACTTCCTGATTTCACGCTATAATACAAAGCCACAGTAATCAAAACAGTATGGTACTGGCATAGAAACAGACATAGAGATGGATGGAACAGAATAGAGAGTTCAGAAGTAAACCCACATGTAATCTGGTCAATTAATTTACAGCAGAGGAACCTAGAATGTACAACAGAGGAAAGCTAGTTTCTTCCACAAAATGTTGGGAAGACTACAGCCATGCAAAGGAATGAGATGAGATTACTATCTTACACCTTACACAGAAATTAACTCAAAATGGATAAAACACTTGAATGTAACACCTGAAACACCTGTATTTACTCACTTGCTGTATAAAAGGAGCATGGAAAGCAAGAGCATGGTTTTATTTAAAGCTGTTTTGATACTTTTCCAGAGAAGTCATGTGACAGGTTTTCTGATGTTTTGTATTGTGTTAAGTAGTAACTTTTGTGTTTTCATAGGTGATAATCTTGGCCAGCAGTACAATAGCCCACAAGAAGTTATTGGCAAACGAGGCTCTGATATCATCATTGTAGGCCGGGGCATAATAGCATCAGCTAATCGTCTGGAAGCAGCTGAGATATACAGAAAAGCTGCCTGGGAAGCCTATTTGAGTAGACTTGATGTTTGAGTGTCTCAGATACATTTTGTGAAGGCCTTGAAGATCCATTGTCTCCAGGAATGCGTTGGCTGGAAATAGCAATCAGCCTTTAATACTTTTTGGATTCTTCCGTGGGTCCTGTGTTGGAGTGACTTCTAGAGTTATCACGATGCTTAGGAAATACTAAACTTCTGTAATCACTGCATTATCGTTGTAATACTTCCATTTTCAAGCATTCTGTAGTGAGACGGATGTTGGAGAGGCAGTCACAGTCCTGTCTTAAAGTCACATTTGAGGATCTCCCCATCTCTAGATCAGACTTTTTGATTCTTTTAGTTGCTGTGACACAAAAATTTTAGGACATCAAGAGTACAACATTTAGGACATCAAAGGACAACATTTCTAATGTCCTTTATTCTGTGTCTAATGTGATACCCAAACAATATTAAATATTAACTGTTCTCTTAAAAGTGATAGTCCAGGTATCCAAATGGTGCTGGTTCCCAGAACTGCCACTGCTCACTCACCAAAGGGAGCAAGGTGGGGAAGAGAGAAGATGTCTACCACTGGGCCCCTGAAACCAGTACCTTGTTTTCATTTCAACAGAGCCAGCTTCTGACTCATCTCTTCCCGGAGCAGCAGTTGTGGCCTGGTGCTGAAATCCAGTCACGGGGCTTCCATTTGCCTTATTTGAATTACAAATGGACAAGCTGTTCCTTCATTTATGTAAAAAGAGCAGCATCCGGAGGTCTAAGGTTCCATTTGGAAGTTTGTCTCAACTGTCATTGACAGAGACGGAAGTCAGCTTTCACTTGAAATAAGGAGAAAGGAGCCCAGCAACAGAGCTGATGTTGTCTGCATCTCTGGGTTTCCACCACATCTCTGTGGTGGGGCCAAGGACATCACCTTGCCTTACTGGCCCCACCTTCACACATGTGGCATAACCAGTTAGGCAACCCTCTCACTCAGGTCTGAGTGCACTATAGTCAAACCTTGGTTCTTGAACGTCTCCCATCTCAATTCCCTTCTCAATGCTGATATCTGTGATCAGTCA